CTCCCTCTCCCTCTCCCTCCCACCAACGTCAGTAAGCCACGTTGGTCAAAATTCACATTAGTGGTCCGCGGGATTTAAAATAATGAGTTGGGTGGTCCCTGAGGTCCAAAAGGTGGGCAATCCCTGTTCTAGTTCAACCCCCTGCTCAAGCAGGAAACCCCCAAACATTTCAAACAAATTATTGTCCAATCTCTTCTTTAAAAAACCTCCAGTGTTGGAGCACCCACAACCATTGGAGGCAAGTCATTTCACTTCATGGTTCTCACTGTCAGGAAATTCCTCATTAGTTCTAGGTTGCTTCTCTCCTTGATTAGTTTCCATCCGTTGCTTCTTGTTCTTCCTTCAGGTGCTTTGGAAAATAGGTTGACCCTTTTCTTTTTTTATGGCAGCCCCTTAGATATTGGAACACAGCTCTCATATCACCCCTAGTCCTTCTTTTCATCAAACTAGACATATCCAATTCCCGTATTGACAAGAAGAAACTTTTCTTCTGTAGACTTAGGAAGTTCTCATAATTTCCTGACTCTTGTCACTGAGATGACTAGGACGATTGTGAAAATAATTTTACCAATGGAACACATTGTAGCTAAAGAGAAACATCTTGATATCTATGTGCACCTGAGTCTAATTGCATTGTACGGATGCACACTCCTATTCTTTTTGAAGCATTTGATGTCCACATGTAGTACCAATAGAAGGGATGAGTTCAGGATTCAACTGTGGAATCCCTGCATTGATAACGTTACGTAGTTTGGTAATGAAACAGCTGCAAGAAAACCATCAAGCTCAGAGGATCTCACTATTCTTTCCTCCTTCTCTTTCTACAGGGTTTACAAGGAAATCCAGGAGAAAGGGGACCACCAGGAAAACCAGTAGGTCACTGTAGGATCTTTCTTTCCTTTTCTTCATTTTCTTTTCATTGGCATGTTTCATTAAGAAATCAACAAATTTGTTCCAAACAAATACATTTTACTATAGAACAGTGTATGAATACCTGAGAAGAAAACCATGCTATTTGTACAGAGTGGGAAAACCATAGTCCCTTTACAACCTGTGAACATCAACTCAGAATTCCTGAACCAGGACATGCTCAGGAACTATGGGGATTGAAGTCCACAGGTCATAAAGGAGCATTAGTTGCCCATCTCTGCTACTCTTTCAACTTAGACATCTCTGCTACTCTTTCAACTTACATCAGTGGTAGTGGAGCTGCTCCTCTTTTGTGAGAGGTGCTTCAATAATGTGGTCCTTCAAAAAAGACTTGATCTATTGTAAATTTGGTCAGTGGGTGGATAACCTTTCATGTTTTATCTTTGATACCAGATGTTCTGAAATGATGTCCATAAATGATGTAGGTGGTTTTATTTTTCTTCTCTTAGGGTTCCTCTCCTCTGCTTTCCCCTGATGATATCAGATTATTAGTTAAGGTAAGGCCTTTTCCCAGGCTTCCAAAGACCTAATACTTGGGAAGCATTAATGTAAATTATCAAAGTCTATAAATGCTGGTAAAATATTCTATGCATACAAAATATAAGAAGGAGAGTCTCAGGAGAAAATGTAGATATGCAGAAGATGTTCACGAGAGCAAAGGAAGTACATTTATTTACTTATTTTTGTGTTCTTCTCCCCTTAAGTAAAGTCTTCTTCAAGTCAAACTTAACTCTGGATAAACATCATGTCGATTTTTTTGTGGTGGGAGGCAGCAATATATTAAAAGAAAATTGCCATTGTCTTCTTGTTGGTTTTTTTTTTTCAACTTCCCAATTAGCACACAATCCTGGTACACATATTGATTTTCCATTACACATTTGGAAGAAGAACAATTGCTGAGGGGGCCAGTGCTGTCTCATGGATAGCATTAACTCAACTATGAGGAAGACCTCAGGAGAATTTTTTAAAGTATACGGTGTATACAATAGTAAATCATGGCTATAAGTGTAGTGCACACCCACAGGTATAGACAGAAACAAAGGTTTCTTTAATTTGCATTCAATTCATAATTCAATACAGTAGAACCAAGGTAGATTTGCGTTTCAGAAGAATTGCCTGCTGTTTCAGTAGCACTATGATTCTCCTCTGTAGGATGTTTGCACTGATTGTCCCCCTGGACCATCCGGTCTCCCCGGAATCCCAGGACAGAAGGGTGATAAAGGCCTTCGAGGCCCACCTGGGAATGATGGACCAGTTGGGAAAAGGGTAAGAAAGACTTGGAGCATAAGAGACAGAATAAGAGAGTTGAAAGGGACCTTGGAGGTGGGATTCAAATTTTTTTAGTACCGGTTCTGTGGCCGTGGCTTGGTGGGGGTGGGGTGGCTTGGTGGGCGTGGCAGGGGAAGGTTACTGCAAAATCCCCATTCCCTCCCCACCCCACTAACCTGGATTTTCCTGTGCAGGGCAACAAAAGAAGACCCAGCCGATCAGCTGGGACTCGGGAGGCAGAGAATAGATGGGGTTGGTAGGGCCAGTCAGAGGCGGGATTTGCTGGTTCTCCGAACTACTCAAAATTTCCACTACTGGTTCTCCAGAACTGGTCAGGGCCTGGTGAATACCAACTCTATTGGAGGCCTTTTAATGCAACCCACTACTCAAATAGGAGAGCCTACACCATTTCAGACAATGGCTGTCTATTTTCTTCTTATAAACCTCCACTGATGGAGCACCACAACTTCTAAAGGCAAGGAGAAATTTCTGAATAATTAGAACAGTTAATCTCCTTATTTCCAGGTTGATGTTCTCCTTGATTAGTTTCCATCTGTTGCTTCTTGTCCTGCCCTCTGGTGCTTTGAAGACTAGGCTTACCCCCCTCTTCTTTGACCCCCTCAAATATTACCTCTACTCCTTCTTTTCATTAGAATAGACTGAACTGCAAATTTGCTGTCCTTCCTTGAAGGTGTACTCCTACAGGCCAGAGGGAGAAAGAGATTACCTCTGCAAGGATATTTGGCAGATTGCTCTTGCATTAATAATTGTTCTTTGAACACTTCACATTAGTGATTTATTGGGTTGCCTCTGTGACCTGCATGGATTACTGATGGATCCCCAAGCAATGTCTAGGAGATGTTATAAATCATTTAGGCTAGAAGTCCTGCTAGATTCTGCTCAGGTGATATCAAGATCTATCGCAAAATTATCAAACCGGTTCTTCTATAAGACCCTAAAGACCAGGCTCCTTCCCCCAAACATTGGGCTAAAGTATGGAATAAACCCATTTACTCTTGAATGAGACACGTATCAATTGGCTTTTGCTGTTTCTATTATTGTTGGTTGTATAGTCAGCCAGATGTTCAGACTGGATTTGGCATTTCCCCCCCAACTATTGAGTCCTTCCCAATCACCTGGGATAGGCAGATGTGGATGTTTGATGGCGTTACAGATATTATCCCAGGATGTAAACAGTTTCAAGTAAAACTACTTTTTGCAACTGACTGATGATCAATTTGTCAATGCCGATAGTGTCCAAGTGTTGCTCGAGAAATGTTGGGATTACACCCAAGGCATCAATTACTATTGATTCTACTTGGTTTTGTTATTATTATTGTTTTTATTATTCTATTAACCTGGGTTGTTTTGTTCAAATATTTATTTATTGTTGCATTTATTTTTCTTCTCTTCATCTTTCCTCAAACTGTAAGTGGTCCAAAGCCACTCCTGCAAACTGGGCAGGCCTATAAGTCTAATCAATCAAAAATGGACAAACAAATTTAGAGCCACCTTTGAAATATTTTTTGGGATGATCATGTGGGTAGATGGTCAATACAGCAATGACTGTTACATTCAGGAACATGGAACTGCATTTGTTTGTTTACTTTTTTGCAATTTGCATAAAGGAGATTTTAAAAAAAGTGAAGCTCATTCCTCTCCTCATGCTAACCTGTATGCATGCTCCATGCTTCAAAATAGAAAGTAACATAAATTCAGCAGTGTGTTCTGCAAATTTCGGGGTTCTCCAAATTTCAGGGTTTGGCTAGGCATGTTCCATGGCTCAGAATTGGAGCAAGCCATTTGTGAAAATTAAGGGCCACAGCTAATTCTGACTACATGCTCACTGTTGAGTAGGCAGTCATCCTTGGTCAGGGTCTGAAGTCCTCAGGCCATGTTCAACCTGCCTAAAAGGTTTGATATGTTGGTCTACTTCAAGCATCATCACATTGAGGATTGGGAAAATGAATTAATGCCTGAATCTTGCAGCACAATAAAAACCGTGTTTTTGAATGAGAAAGACTCCATAGGGATCTTTTCTTTTGGTAGTAACTGTGCATGATACTGTTTCAGGATTCCCACATCACAAGCTTTTCCCTTTCTCAGAGCCAGTTTGGTCTAGTAGTTAAGACACAAGGCTGGAAATGAGTTCTAGTCCTGTCTTAGCCATGAAAGCCAGTTGGGTGACTTTGGGCCAATCACCAGGAGACTGTGAGTTCTAGACCCATCTTAGCCATGAAAGCCAATTAAGTGACTTTGGGCCAGTCATTATCTCTCAACCCAACCCACCTCATGGAGTTGTTGTGGAGACAGTAGGAGGAAAGAGGATTATTAAATATGTTACTTATCAAAAAAAAAAAAAAAAAAATAGGATCGCCAACATGATTGCCATGTCCGATGACAGATATGGCACAAGAAGAAGAAGATCAAAATAATAAAGGTGGATATAAATTAATATAAATAAATAAATAAATAAAATATCAAATTCTCATGCAACAAACCCAACAGGAAGAGGGGTCTCATCTGCACTAACAAATGGCATGATAAATCTGTGGCAGCCCTTTCTTACCAAACTATATTAAGTCAGATTCAAAAGTAACATTAATTAATCAAACTGATCATCTAATGTGATTGCTCCATTCTAAGTGTTATCTCCTTCTACATCTTTTAATGGAGATTCTCGGTCATCCAGGTCATGGTTGTCCCAAAGGTGCTTTTTTTCAAGAGGCAGCTGGATTTTCTGGATTTTCTTTGAAGACATTTTGCTTCTTATCCAAGAAGCTTCTTCAGCTCTGAATAAGCTTCTTGGATGAGAAGCGAAACATCTTTGAAGAAAAACCAGAAAGTCCAGTTGCCTCTTGAAAAAAAAAAACCAACACCTTTGGGATATCTCCTTCCATGTTTAAAACAATGCAACACTTTGGTGGCAACTATAGAAAAAGAACTGGGAAATGTGTAGAAAGCTATGAGTGGAGACCATATGGTATCCTAATAATGGTCTGTGCCTATGGGAGGACAGGGTGACCCCATTTATCTGTGTAAGAGGAAGGGGGCACATATGCTTTCCCATTGCTTCAATGTGTGCCCTCTTCCTCTTGAGCAGATAAATGAGGTCACCCTATCCTTCCAGAGGCAACAGACCATTTTAGGATACCAAATGTTTCCAAGATACTATAGGAATGAACAATCAAGCTAGAAGACATCTGTTTGTAAACTGTGTTTCTTTCAGGGAGAACCTGGACTCAGAGGTCCCCCTGGGCCTCCGGGAGTGGAAGGTCCCAAGGTAAAATGTACATTCTATCTTATATGACTCTTGCTTCCCCTAAAAATATTTGAAAGGAGCTGGTATAGGAAGGGAAGGCTCTTTTTACCAAGAGAAAAGAGCTATTCGGAAGAGAAAACATTCCAATTTCAAGGTCCATCAAATTTTGCTTCCTACAAAAATACTCTTATTTATTCTAGCATTTAACAGTCTGAATGTGTTCATGTCTCCCGTTCCTTTTTAAAGAAAGAGGATCAAGGATGTTATACATGAAACAGTTTAGGTGAATTTGACCCCCATTGGCATGCTCAAGTTAGCATGAAAGGCAACTTCTTGTATATACAGAATTGGCTTTCCAAAATACTTGTTCCTTTCAAAGCTGGAGGAAAATAAAATAAGTTGGGCTTCCATGGAACATCAGTTTCCAGTAGATCTTACATCTTTAAGAAGGAATTTTCTGAGCCACAACTCTACTGTGTAAAACTAAGCATTGTTGTTCTTATTGTTAGTCACGAAGTCGTGTCCAAACCATTGTGACCCCATGGACAATGTTCCTCCAGGCCTTCCTGTCCTCTTTCATCCCCTGCAATCTATTTAAGCTCACACTGACTGCTTCAGTGACTCCATCCAGCCACCTCATTCTTTGTTGTCCCCTTCTTCTATTGCCCTCAATCATTCCCAGCATTAGGCTCTTCTCCAGTGAGTCTAACTAAGCATAAACCCTATGCATCAGTTAGAGCAGGCTCCCCTAACCTGATGCCCTCCAATTGTAATGACTCCTCACAAGTCCCAGAAATCAGCACTTCCCCAGTCAGATTGTGCAATTTGAGGAGCTTCTTGGATTTATGGCTTCTGTTTGAAGAACAATTGGCAGCGATGGGTAGAGGGGCTTTTTCACAGGTTCATCTTGGGCAGAAATGCATCCATTCTGAACTGGGAGATCTTATGCCTTAGATATCTCCCAAACTACATGAGGCTACCTTTGAAAAGCATTCAGAAATTCCAGCTGGCGCAGAAGCTGCAGTTGGTCCAGAATGCAAAAATGTGGACAGTTTGAGGCATCTCTCAATGTGCTCATATAACAGCACTATTCTGAGAACCATTCTGGATCCTAACAGGCTTCTGAATCTACTTCAAGGTGCTGGTTATCTCCTGTCATGCCTTATATGGCATCATAAGATCAAGCTATTTGTAGAACTGCCTATCACCCACTAGGTCCAGAAGGGAGGATATGCTCCTAATATCTTCCATTAAACCAAGTCATTCTTATTAGACTTTTTTTTTTATGTATTAGGGTCCTAAAGGAGGCGATGGGGCATCTGGTGAAGCTGGCCTGAAAGGTGAACAGGTGAGAGTAAATAAGGAATCAGCATGATTTATTGAAATCATTCAGTAACAACAACATTTCTAACTTGATATTTCTTCACTTGCCAAAGAAAGATCTAAGCCCTGCTTTTGGGTTATTCTACCAAAATATACATATGTCTGTAGTCTTTAGTCATCATGGATTCCTATAAGAATGAAAGTCATAGGTTGTACAATTGACATGAAGACTTGACTATTAACAAGACCTCTGATTTGAATATGTAATCAAGTGTTTGTGTGTGTGTGTGTGTGTGTGTGAAAGAGGGGGGGGGAGATTATTCCATGACATTTGACTTTTTTGAATTAAATTATTAAGCAGCACAGTTTATCTGAGAAGATAAATCTTGATGTTTATATGAAAAAATGGTGATGGAATAGCTGTTAATATTTCTCCTGAGAGTATTAGCAAGCCAAAAAATGAAAGCAAATTTTGTTCCATCTCTGTGCTGAGCTTCTATTACCCTCAAAATCTAGACATCTGCTTTGCTTCCTCTGCCACAGAGATCCTGGCAGCTGCCATCCCAATTAAGTATGCTGTTTATCCATCTCTGCTGCAGACTGTGATAGAGAAAACACTTAAGATGCATCGCAGCAGCATGTATAGCAAATGCAGCTGCTGCGTACAAGTTTACACAGGGTGAGAGCACAAGAGAGAGGAAGATTTAGAACTTCTCTGGAACTCAGAGTTGCTATTTAGAAGCAGGGAGTTTGGTGTAGACTAGAGCACATTTCTCAATCTCAGCAACTTTAAGATGTGTGAACTTCAATTCCCAGAGTTCTCCACCCAGTTGAAATTAACACATCTTACGCTTGGGGAGGTTGAAATGGTAGAATTTCAAATCACCCTTAAGCAACTCAGTCTAATACTATCTAGCAATGAAATCATTCATTGCAAAGATCGCTTGGAGGTAGGAGAAACTTCTACTGTAATTTACCAGATTCTCTGCATGGGTTGTGCCTGTGACTTTGTAGGACAGATGGGGAAGGACCTAACTATCAGATTGCAAGAACATTTGTGAGCAGTTAGATGAGGAAACCCAAACTCATTGGTAGCCTCATGTTGCAATGAACAAGAACACACATTCAATTTCACAGCTACTGTGATGACCTGTGGCATGGCACAAAGGCAACACAGTCAGATAATCAATAAGAGCCCCTTTATTAGCTCCAACTTTGCCCCCAAAGTCCAGGTTACTTTCTGGCTGGAGAAAAACTCTCCAGGAACAGCCTTTGGCTGCAGAGAATCAAGTCCCAAACATGGTCAACAAAAACTGTAACTATAAGTCCAATCAAGGCAAAATGAGGTAATTAGTTTGGCAGGGTAGGAGCAAGAATTCCAGATGTAAAGGCATAGCAAAACTCAACATGGTTGGAAAGACACCAGGAACACAGATAAGAAAAGTCAACACAAGATAAACTTTGCTCCCAGCAGCTGCCGCACGCAGCCTGCATTACTTTTAAACTTTCTTCCCAGGTGTGGCTAATGAAGGGAATCAGGACCCTTTCCTCCCCCACACAACCCACAAGTTGCTCTCTTCTCCGTTCCTCCCTGCGTGCCCTAGGATGAAGAGGGAGTGGGCCTGGGTCTTCCTCTGAACTCCCACACCCTTGTTCTATGTCTCCCCTGCTCTGCCCAGCTGGACTTTGCCCTTCCCCAGTTTCCTCCACAGCCAACAGAGCCACACTCCCACTCCCTGTCAGCTGTTCATCTTCCTCCTTGGATTCAGACTCTGACAGGGCATGACAGCTACTAAGATTGTTGGCTGAGCAGTACAAAAATAGACAGGAAACGACTGAAGCCTGGGAAGCAAACCCCTTGTCAATCAATAGGACTGCTAATTTACCACCAGCTTACCAGGTACTTAGGAGCCGAGGGTGCAGCAGCACTAGGAAACAACCAATGACTTAATAGTCACCCACCAACACTCCAATTAACAACTGAAAGTCACATACAGCCAGGCACCACATAAATACTATGCACAGAACACTCCAGTGCACACATAGAGGGTGTGTGTGTGTGTTCCCTGATGATGGGCTCCAGCATGAGTCCGAAAGTTTGGAAGAGTAAACAATAGCAATAGCACTTAGACGTATATACCACTTTACAGTGCATTACAGCCCTCTCCAAGTGGTTTACAGAGTCAGCCTATTGCCCCCAACAATCTGGGTCCTCATTTTACCCACTTCGGAACCAAGAGGACATCATATATGAGCCTCTGTGGCGCGGTGGTTAGAGTGCAGTACTGCAAGCTACTTCTACTGTAGCCAGCTGCCTACAACTTGGCAGTTCAAATCCCACCAGGCTCAAGGTTGACTCAGCCTTCCATCCTTCTGAGGTGGGTAAAATGAGGACCCAGATTGTTGGGGGCAATATGCTGACTCTGTAAACTGCTTTGAGAGGGCTGTAAAGCACTATAAAGTAGTATATAAGTCTAAGTGCTATTGCTATATACCTCCTTAATTTACTCATTGCACAATGTTGAAACATCAGTTAAACATTGTATTAATTTTCATTCAAGCTTCACTTCCACCATATGCTTCTTTCATTATGTTCAGTAAGCAGTCTTCCTTGAGCCTGGTGAGATTTGAAATGTCAAATTGCTAAATCTTTGGTCCTGGACTAACTCAGACTGGTTTGTGCAGGATGTCTAAGATAAACGTGGAAAGTCAGCTATTAGAAATAGAATGCTTCGGAGGAAGAACAATACATGAAATATATTTGTCGCTCCATGGAATCTATTTGGTATTTTGTCACCCTCAAGGACTGGGGGCAGGAAAATGTGACAAATTATTTCTCCCCCCTCCCCCACAAAAAATCTATTTTTTTCAGCAGTAGTGCCAGGAAAATTTCACTAGCGCATAAGTCACCATATTCAGTCATCAGATTCAGTGCAAACGAACAGCATTGTGTTGTTGAAGTAATGGAACATCCATGTATATCCTACGCATGATGTCCAGATTTAGCCATGGATGATAGATACTCAAATAGATGCTGTGAACACTGGCTTTGTGCTATGATTAGGAGAGGAAAAATAGCAGAGAGAGATTCTTTCTCCCTCTGGTAGCTCCCATATTCTTCTATCTCAAGTTGTTTTTCATAAAGAAGGTTTAAAATTGCAAGGTTTTGGTCCTATGGGGTTGAAATCATTGCTTAAATTGAACCAGCTATGTTAGATGAGGTTTCAGGACTCTTTCAGAGAGGCACTTTGTCATTCCTCCGACTTTTGTTCTTCACACACAACAAAAATAATAAGAAAGAAAAAAAACCGTACAAGTATAATTCAAATGTATTGCAGATGCTTATTTTTATTTACACACATTCCTGATACAGATACACACAGATAAGAATATTCAGAAACCGTTCTTGCTATGTTCTCAAGGGGGAAATAGCAATATATGTTGTATTATGTTGAAACCATTTTTCTGGGGAAAATAATAGACACAGCTAAGGTTGAATATAGATGAGATACTTTGTCATTCATATTTTTTCCTGAAAATAGTGATAGGGCCAAAAAGCTAGTTTATAGCCTGGAACCCAAACATTTTGGCTAGTAGATTGTGTGCATACAGAAATGTATGCAAAGCCATTATTCTATTCCCTTTTGGCATCAGTAGCACAATGCAGAGTGCAGAAAGCATAAAAAATAGCCAAAGCAATTGAAGACATTGGATATTGATAAGAAAAGAAAATATAGCCAGAACTAATTCACATCAAGACTTTTTCTTATTTTTCTCTTCTTCCAAACCATCCTTGCTTATACCATTCCCCAAAACTGCTTCCTGCATTGTTTTTTTTTTTAAATGACACAACTTTTTCATTTTATGAAGATGCTATGTACTCCCTTCAGTTATATCGTTCTTAGTCTTCTCCTAACAGGGCAACTGTTAGCTTTGCTTTTATATATTTGCTTTGTAACTTAATTCTCATCTGTATAACTGTATGTTAAAACAGCCACCTATTTAACATTCTATGCAAATAGCCAGTGTGTTAAACACACCACTTCTCTGCATATGCATGCATTCATGGATCCACCAATGTACCGATGAAATAATCACACAAGTATTTTACATATTTGCTCATCAATGCACCAAAAACAAACAGGACATCATATACCTCCTTAATTTACTCATTGCACAATGTTGAAACATCAGTTAAACATTGTATAAATTTTCATTCAAGCTTTTCATTCCACCATATGCTGCTTTCATTATGTTCAGCAACCAGTCTCCAACCATATTTTTTACAACAGTTCCATAATTAACTAGCGTGGGAAGAAATATCCATCTGGTTCAGTTCCAAGCTGGGAGAAAGGCACTGGAAACAAAATGGAGGCTAGAGGCTGATTGAAAAGAAGGTCCATTTATTGGTGAAGCAGAACCACCAAGCATGGGTCATGTAGGGGTCATAGCTGGCTGTATAGGCAAAAGATGAGATGCAAATCCTAGGTGTTTGTCTGAGATAATTTGTCAACCTTTTGTTTGTTGGCTTATCTGAGCTCCCAGGTGAAGTTTGGACTGCTCTGGGATGGTGTAATGAAGGGGCTTGTTGTCTGAAAAAGTGTTGGGAAATTTCTATTGTGGCTTAATGGCTTTTGTCCTGTTTTGGCTCTTGGGTGAAGGTATTTGCTTATGAATAGAGATATCTAGATACTTGTCTTCTTTCAATAAGCTCTTTATCTCTTAAGTGCTGATCTGCTGTGGGCTCTTAAGAAATGGTGCTTTCTGCCTTTGAAAAAAAACATGTTTCTCCATTCCTCATTTTGGGAAATATAATATTCTGCCTTTTTTAATATTTCCCAAACTATTTCAGTTTTCTAGGAGGGGTAGGCACTTATTTTTTACACTAGCATTCATTGCTATCCCATGCTTTCACTAATTTTCATGCTTTCCTCAATAAACTGCTGAAGAGCAAAATCTAATTGCCATAAAGCTGCATTGCACTCAAATTTGGCTCACCATCATCTCTTGTGCCTTGTGAATTATAATTCTGCAACTCTCTTTGTCTGGCCTATTAAATCAAGTGATCTTCCTTTTTTAAAATTTACTCTTGCTATATTTCCCTTGGCGTAGAGGAAAAGTAGCAGGGTTTTTTATGTGTCAAGCACAGGTGCAAACCCCATCCATTTTTTTTTTTCATTTGTACCACTTATACTTATGGTGTTGTTTGGTAAAAAAAAAATCCACTCATGTTTTTTAGCAAGCTGTACACTTGCTAACTTTTAACATGGTATAGAACATGGAAAACATGGTGTAGACTTGTTCGTGTGCCTTAGTCATACTCATGCTCCATGAAACTTTCCATCCTGATGATAAAGACAATTCCCATTAGTTTTGGCATATTATGGCTAGTAGGTCAGAAGTCCAATCAAAACCTAATTTAACCCAAAGCAAGTTCAGTGCAACCTAAAATCCCTGTCCGTTGAGGCTCCATTCAAAATCCGAGAAAGGAAACCTTAGACTCCATTGTTATAGAGAAACATGGCAATGTTCCCACCCACAATAGTTCAAACTGGCCATCCAATCTGAGATGTGTATAATGTCAAGTGGGGCATCTTCAGGTGGTGTTTCAGACATCTGGCTCATTAGGATGGTTGACCTTGGCCTGCTTAGATAAGAAGCTACAGCTGCACAATAAGCAAATAAGAAAGTTTTCCCAAGTTTTACAATTCACCATCTCAAGCCTCCACCACTCTTCCCCCCGCCAATCCCCAATTAATTTTCCCTCCCCCCGTTTTTATGGCAGCCAGAAAGACAAGTAGAAGAAAGATTCTTCCCTTTCTAGGAACCATCTTGGAAATCCCATCCCATTTGTGTTGGAAGCACCAAGACACTTCCAGGATGAAAAGATTGCCCCCATGACTTCTCCATTGCCTGGCTGCACTCCTTTCACCTCTCTGTTAATGTGCCCACTGAAGTGGTACCTATCTTTCTATTCACGTTTGCACACTTCCAAACTAGAGCAAATGATGGGAGCTCATCCTGTTACACAGCAACTCTTGGGTCTCGAATTCAAGCTTACAAATTGCCAGCCCATTGTTCTAACCAGGGGTGGTACTCTGCCGATTTGGGCCAGTTCAGGCAAACCCCTAACTCCAAATATCAACTGGGAGCAAACTGGTTCACAACGACAATTATGTGGCCCCGCCTGCCAGCCCTTGCACTGTACTGACCCTTATCGTACCAGCTGATCAGCATGGAAGAATGGATTGCCACTCCTCAGCTGTGTTACTCCCCTGAAGTAACATAGCAGGTCAGGATTTTTACACTGCTGTTCATGCGTGATCACTGAACCGGTTGTTATACTGGCAGCATCCCACCCTGGTTCTAACCACATGAGCCACCGTTCTCTCACCTTGAAATTAATGCTTGTTAGCTGTTCTCAAGAATTAGGTGATATATGCAGTGCTTGATACACAGTTAGGGTGGCAAGTTGTTTGCATGTAGCACTTAAGGAGAACATGAGCTATACGGCAGAAATAATAACATGAAATAACTATTGTTCTTTTGTAGGGTCATCCTGGAATACCTGGCTTCATGGGTCCCCCTGGGAATCCAGGCCCAGCTGTAAGATTTTCCTTTGCATGCTAATTTTTAATCTTTATCTACTAGAATGGAAGGCAAATTGTTCTTGCAAATCTATTTGAGATGATGGTGATATGAGGATGATGATTCCATAATTTTGATTATTGTTGATGATAATTCAATAACGTTGTTGATGTCATTGAGGATGATTCAATTATTGATGATGATTTCAATAATAATTTGGATGAGGATGTTCATGATGATTCAGCAATTTTGATGATGTTGTCTTTGATGCTAATTCAGTAGTTCAATATTTTCTCCCATAATACTGGACTGTAGGAGTCTGTATAGATCTCAGAGCTGCAGCAAATATTGTACCACGATAGACTGTACTTTATATGTGCTGCTCATCTTATTAAAGTCTGTCCATCAGTGGTGGTATTCAATTTTTTTTTACTACTGTTTCTGTGGGCGTGGCTTGTTCTGTGGGCGTGGCTGGGTGGGCATGGCTTGGTGGGTGTGGCAGGGGAAGGATACTGTAAAATCCCCATACCCTCCCCACTCCTGGGGGAAAGGTTACTGCAAAATCCACATTCCCTCCCCACCCCACTAGCCTGCTTTCCAGCTCTGTTCTCCTGTGCAGGGCAGCCAAAGAAGACCCAGCCAATCATCTGAGACTCCAATCATCTGGGACTCAGAAGGCAGCAAATAGATGGGGGCAGGGCCAACCAGAGGTGGTATTTGCTGGTTCTCCAAACTACTCAAAATTTCCGCTACCGGTTCTCCAGAACCTGTCAGAACTGGCTGAATACCACCTCTGCTGTCCATCTATCATGGTACAATATTTGCCACAGCAAATACAGTTTCAGCATTAATGTGCAAAAATTATCTCCAAGCCATATGAGAAAGAGGATTCTTCAGAGATACAAATTCTGCATCAACGATCAGTTGTCCTGTGTCTGTGTTTTTGTAGGGTGGGATACGATGGTAAATGAAAGCTTCAAGGCCATCATATGGAGGACAAATAATTGCTACATAATTATTTTTTTCCACATTGTTGTTTAGGGACCAGATGGCTCCCCAGGACCTATGGGTTCCCCAGGACCTCCAGGAGAAAAGGCAAGTTGCTGTTTATTCATTCAGAATATTGAAGAATATTCTGTGGGGACAAAACAGATCTCATAACTTTTCAAACATTGGAAGATATCTTAGATAGTTGATTTTATGAGTGATTGAGACTCTCAATCATCCAGGTCCAGGTTGATTTCAAATGTCAGTTGGATTTTCTTGGTTTTTTTTTTCTTTGAAAATGTTTTACATCTCACCCAAGCAGCTTCTTCAGTTCTTCTTCATTTAGAAAGAGCCTGTTGAGGCACATGTTCTGACCCAGGCTTCATCCAACTTAACAAAACACAAACTGAATGTAAACGTAAAACCTTTTTTTTAATGCAAAGCTGGAAGTTACTTGCATTCCCAGCCAAAACTAATTAGACACAGTTCCTCCAGGTGAAAGCACGCTTTTCAGTGCTGCAGAATGCTGTCAAGAAACCGGTCCAATTAAAGCTTAACACAAACCAACCCAAAAATCCAGAAAAAAACTGACCAGAGTACAGATCTTCACGATGCACTCGGAGATTATTGAACTGCTTTGTTTCCTGCAAAGCTTTTCGTCATTGGGGACTGACTTTTATTCCTTATGGGAGGGGCAATCACCTCCCAGTCTTACTCCCGAGTTGCCCCTTCTGCTTCAGCTGCTCTCACCTTCTAGCAGCTCTGCGCACCTGCACACTGGGAACAGGCTCCCCTGGGTCCTCTGCCTCACTGCTGCCAGACTCCAAAGGCTCCGGAGGCAGCACCCTACTCTCAGATGGTCCTGGCCCCATCCCTGCATCGGATGCAGGACCCTCGTCCAAGTCCTCCCCGGACTCCCTGACTGGTTCCCTTTCGTCCTCACTGTCCGATACCTCTGCCGTCTACACCAGCTGCCAGCGAACCACAGCAGCACAGAATGCACTATTGCAAGCTAATACTGCTGACTGTCAGCAATTCAATTCTCACCAGCTCAAGGTTGACTCAGCCTTCCATTCTTCTGGGGTTAGTAAAATGAGGACCCAGATTGTTGGGGGCAGTATGCTGACACCTAGAGGGGACTGTAAAGCACTATGAAACTGTATATAGATGCTATTGCTATTTTCTAATTTAAAAAAAAATCAAGAAAGTCTAGTTGTCTTTTTTGGGGAAAACATCTTTGGGATATATATGAGTGATGGGTTCTATGAAAGGGGAAATTCTAAAAACTGTTCAGCTTTCACTGAGGCTCTAAGAGATTTCTTAAGATTCTGGAGTTTTGCTTTATTTTATTTTCCTCTCTGAATTGATCTTGGTGGTCAATTTGGAAAAATTGGGAGAGGGATGGATGGAGATGGCATATTTATTCCCAGAAGGCCATAGTAGTTCTTCAGACCTGGAGAAGAGACAGGACCTGGTATAATGACTGTACAGAGCAAGGGTCTTCAAACTTGGCAAGTTTAAGACTTGTGGACTTCAACTCCCAGAATTCCTGAGCTAACATGACTGGAAAAGGAATTCTGGGAGTTGAAGTCCACAAGTCTTAAAGCTGTCAAGTTTGAAGACCCCTGGTAGAGCAAGGACTTGATTTCAGATCTTCCTCATGCAAGCATCTTAAAGATTCTAACACAGTATCATCTTTCATAGGGGAAAGAAGGTCCCCCAGGACCTCAGGGACCCCCAGGATTGCCTGGACTTATGGTGAGTATAAATAATATTTGTAACTATTGATGCAAGATATCTGGAAAATGAACAATATTTCTATTGGCTCCTGAAACAGTTCAACTGGAATGGAGGTGCCACGTACATATATCAGAGCAAAGGAGAAGCATGTGCGGATGTCTACAAGTTTTGTTCCTAATATCTTTTTATCCTCACCCCCATGTAGTTACATAGCATGTTAAGATAGTAGACTGTGGACATATTGTTTGGCATTAAAAAACCCTTTTAATTTGAATTGGCATGCATGCAATCAGATTTTAACTATCCTGTTCTAAACTTGGTGATACAATACACTGAAAGAAAGATAATTCAATTTGTGGAAGGAAAAATATAAGAGGAGGAAAAGGTAAAGATAAAGGTCTCTCCAGGTAAGGAGAGGGAAATCTATTAAGGTATTAAGGTAATCCAATACCATGGTGACAGAAAGAATGCTTTTCTTGTTGACAAGTCCAAAATCTCCACTGTCAAACAATCTTAGGAAATCTTTTTACAGCCCTGCTTCTCATCATCTCAAAGATCTGTTCCACCCACAATCAAGATTATTAGCCAAGATGAATTCATATTTTTGACTCAAAATTGTTTTACAATTGTGCATGAATATCTTTACTGCTGTGTTCAATTTTCTGCAATCCTCTCCCACACTCAGTCTTCTTTTCTGACTGGGCTGACAAGGCTATTCAAGGGTCAAAGCCATCCATCAGAATGAGTAAGGAGGTTGGAAGCATGGTGTCGGGGCTGCAGAAAGGAGAGGGTATTCCAGGATTCAGGAGGCGAGATGGAACAAGCATTTCAACCACTGGGAAATAGGTTTACTAAACAGCTCTGGAACCCTACTGTTAGAGGAAATATCCAGGGCCAGTTCCAATCCGGGAGAAAGGCACTGGAGCAGTGGTGGGATTCATTTTTTTTTTACTACTGGTTCTGTGGGTGTGGTGTGGCAGGGAAAGGTTACTGCAAAATCCCCATTCCCTCCCCACCCCACTAACCTGCTTTCCAGCCCCATTCTCCTATGCAGGGCAACAAAAGAAGTCCCAGCTGATCAGCTGGGACTCAGAAGGCAGAGAATAGATGAGGACAGGGCCACTCAGAGGTGGTATTTGCCGGTTCTCCGAACTACTCAAAATTTCTGCTACCAGTTCTCCAGAACTGGTCAGAACTTGCTGAATAAGACCTCTGCACTGGAGACAAAATGTAGGCTGGAGGCTGGTTGGAAAGATGGTTTAATGATGAAGCAGAACCACATGGGTTTATGGCTCTGGGCAGCTGACCACATGGAGTTGAGAGTGGGTGGCTTGTATACATTATCTTGGGCTTTGCCCTTGAGCTTCCTGTTTCTGTGCAAGAACATTTGTTCCATTGGCTGTTGTAGGGGTTATAACTGGCTCTGTAGGTTGTCTGAGCTCCCATGTTTGATTGAAGGTGATGAAATGTCCTTAGGAGATTGTGCAATGTAGTGAGCTCTGTGTCTTAGTGCAGTGGCCCCCAACCATTTTTGTACCACGGCCCGGTACAAAATGTACAAAATGATCCACGGACCAGTACCAGCATCAGCACGCATGACCAAGGCAAGGCGAGCCGAGCGACCGGCCAGCCAGCCGTCCCCCACTTCTCCCTGCCACCTTCAACTCCTCCTTTGTACCTTCTTGCGGTCGATGGGCTTTTCGGGCTCTTTCTTAATCTCCTTCTGAGTAACGCAAGACTCCACCGCCATCGGGACGGCTCTTTGTTTGAAGCCGCCCCTCCCTTCGACGAAACTAAGGCGCGAGGATTCCTTCAGCACCCAAATGCTGCTTTCCAACCGATGACCAACAAGCTCACCCAGAAGCATTTTCTCAAGCGCTGTTGAAACAAGATGGCGGCGCCCAACCAAATAGGCGGCCCAGTACTAAATGATCCATGGACCGGTACCGGTCCGGGGCCCGGTGGTTGGGGACCACTGTCTTAGTGGGTTAATCCTATTATGTCCTGAAGGATCATATTTTAACCCCATCACCCTGGAGCTGAAGGTCTTTTGTCTGGTAAATAGGTTGGCCCAGTCTTTCTTAATGGGCACAAAATATCTGCTGGGGGCAGGGAGCTAGAGCTCTGAGTTTCTGTCTCCCTTAGGATTTTTATTTCTCTTTTAGGGGAAATATAACATTCTGCCTTTTTAATATTTCCCCAAATATTTTATTCTTTTAGGAATGGGGGGGGAGAGGGATTGCTAACTTTCTATACTACAAAACTGCCTTACAGTGTTTAGGGACCAAATGAACCAATAGTTAATCAACTTGGTTTTTAGAGCTCCCTGAGGTTAAGGAGGTATAGGGGACACACTGATTTCAGATTAGTGGTGTACTCCCATGTATGGAATGGCTGCAGATTATATTCACCATGAAACCAGGACCTCAACTATATTATCATCTTTAGACATCTTGAAATTATTTTTTTTTTTTTAAAAAAGACTGAAGTGTGTGTGATGACTTAGGCCAACCTCAATCTCTACCCAATCTAAGTGAATCCGTTCTGCACTCATGAATCTAGTGATGGCTCTGGATCTTGATTAATAATGATGGATTTGCTAATTACGTGCCTTGTGGTGAAAGTTAATAGAACTATGAAGCATGTGGGTGGTTTGAATTTTAGTACAGGAATATAAGCAAAACCTCAGAGGCTGAGTTAGTAAAATGTAGAATCATAACTGGAAGAGTATATACACCAAAAAGTATCATGTCAAGCAGAATATCGATTTTTGCCAGGTGTATGAATATGAAGGTACATGTTAGCATGAGGCAAAATCACAAGGCTGCATCTCACTTATTTTGGCTGTGTCATCTGGGGGAATTCACTGGAGAAAGCAATTGTGTTTGGAAGGATTAGCGGTAACCAGGCCACCAAAGAACAGGGTGGTTGGACATCATCAAAGCTGACAACAGCCAGAGCATACAACAACTCAAAGAAGTAATGCAAGATCAGAAGTTGTAGAGAGACCATAGAATCATCAAGTGTCAGACATGGGCAGAGATATTTGGCAGAGAAATTTCCTGACTGTTAGAACAATTAACCAGTGGAACAACTTGCCTCTAGAAGTTGTGAATGCTTCAACACTGGAAATTTTTAAGAAGAGATTGAACAACCGCTAATCTGAAATAGTATAGGGTTTCATGCCTGAGCAAGAGGTTGACCTCCAAGGTCCATTCCAACTCTGTTATTCTGTTATTCTGACTGAATAGATAACACCATAATTATATTAGCATGGAACTAACCTGCAGTAAACTCCATTAATGAACTCATTAACCACTTTTTGCTCCACTGTTAGAAGCATGGCCCGATACGTTTGAGGTGTTTATCTATGAAAAGAAAACATCATTTCAGAGAAACAAAGTATTATTTGGTGTGCATGTACATTATGCATTTGATTGGCTGAAGCAATGAACCCTAGTTAATTGTTTTGACTTGCTCCTTTTCATACAACCTATTTTTTTTCTTTGTGGATTTTCCACAGCATGGAGTTGGCAGGTTTGCTACTGGGTATAGTCTAATTTTGTCTAATTTTCCTAAATTAGTAATATTTGGTCAGGTTTTTTTTCTTTTATTCTTACAACCCTCTCTTAAAAATATTGCAGAATGTCTTTGCATTTTTAATCTTGTTTATCTGTTTGGCTTCTGTTTTAGGGTGTAGCTGGAAACGATGGCAAAGATGGTAAACCAGGATCACCTGGGGAACCAGTAAGAAGATAGTTTGTTGTTAATAAATATACCTAACATTCTTTGTCACTGTTCTTTGTTTTTTAGCTACCATGTCACAGACTCTTCTTAAATTCATAAATTTGCGTGAGGAAATACACTTTTCATGCCATGTTTTCATACATTTATGAACTCAGTGAGGGAACTAAAATGGCATTTAGTCTCAGAAGAAAAGCTCTGGATAAGTGAGACCAATGGTGATTGAGAACGTAGATCAAACAAAGTCAACATGCTAATTAAAGTCTGCTGCACAGGAAGATGGAGAATATTCCTGGTTTTTTTCTTTCAATTTGCCTTGACAAGTTTATTTGATCACAATCATAGGATTAATCTTGTGATTTCGAATCTTAGAAATATTATTGCAGTTCAGGCCTTTAAAAATGCATTCTTGTTTGTTTCCCCCTAATTTTACTATTGTAAATGAGTTTATGTTCAGTACTTTAGAATCAATTTCTTCTCCCTCTTCTTCTCCCTCTTCTTCTCCCTCTTCTTCTCCTTCTCCTTCACCTTCTCCTTCTCCTCCTTCTCCTTCTCCTTCTCCTCCTTGCTTGTAAAGCAAAAAAAAAATCTGAACAAAGATACACAGGTGGCTAGAAAAGATGATAGGGGAACATGTAGATTTTAAAACTGAACTTTTTTATTAGGTATAATATCTGAAAAAATCAATAAGAAAGTATGTATTTAATATTACATGTCTTAACAGCAGCGAGGATTATATTTGCACAATATTGGAAACGTGAAGATATACTGCGAGATGGAGAGATAGTCAGTAAGATACTAGATTGTGCAGAAATGGATAGATTAACATTGAAAATTAAGAAGATGTAGAATATTATCAAACATTGAATTTATTTTGCCACTGGTTGGAAAAAAGGGGTGGGGATTAAGAATGTAAATTTGAATTGTTAAGCAAAATAAATACCCAGACAACTCGATGTTTATTAAGCACTAAGAAATGTAATTAATAGAAAATCACTTTTAAAAAAAGAATCAATTTCTATTTAATGTATCCTGGAAAATTAGGGTGGATAGGGCTTCATTTGTTTTCAGTTGGGTGGCCTTGGGCTAGTTACTCTCCCTCAGCCCAACCCACCTCACAGGGTTGTTATTTGTTGTGGCCCATCAGCAGACAGCAGAGTTGGTGGCAGACTCAGACAGTGAGGAGGTTGGGGAGGAACATGGGCCAGTCCTGGTGTCTGGGGAAGGCTCTGATGAGGGCTCTGCGTCAGAGGCAGAGATGGGGCCAGGGCCGTCTGACAGTTGTCAGCTGCCTTTGGAGTCAGAGATCAGTGGGGCAGAAGAACAGCTGGAGCCTGTTCCCAGTGTGCATATGCTTAGAGCTGCCAGGAGAAGGGAACAGCTGAGGAACAAGGGCCGACTTGGGAGTAAAGCCACAGGTGGATGGTGAATGGCCCCTCTCATAGGGAATAAAAGAGGAGCAAAAGGGGAGTAAGTCTTTGCAGGAGACAATTAGTTCATTTTGGCATGCTTGCCAAGTGTTGCAGCATCTGAAATATATAGGCCTGGCCCTTCTCAAAGCCTGATAAAGGTTTTAATTGGGAATTATCGTGAAAGACTGTTGGCCAGGACTTTGTTGGAGAAGAAATTAATTGTAAATCAAATAAAAGGGGTTTATCGGGACGAGGACCCAGCTTCATGCTGTTGAGGGAAGCCTAGGTCAGAACATTATTGTGAAAAAACCCGGAAGAGGAAAGGTATGTTGGATATGTTTGCCACCTTTAGTTATTTGTGAAAATAATAAAGGCAGGATATAAATAAGTAAATAAGAACTGTATTACATTACTGCTGGTCAAAAGAATCCCAGAGCTCCATCAGAATGTGTTCATTTTTGTGTGGCATTGTGCGTTGTGTAAACCATGCCAATGCAGTATGAAAATTTGATTTATGGCTTAGCAGTGCAAGAGTCTATTCTAAATGTGCTTTGTCTATTTCAGGGTAAGCTTGGAGACCCGGGGCTACCAGGCCAAGAGGGTGGCAGAGGACCACCGGTAAGTCTCGTTACAAGCTGTTCTGGGACACAATAAATAAACCTTTTCATTTATTTATTTAACATACATCATGAAATACATGGATAGCCACAGTAATGATGTTTGAAAAGAACACATAGTGATATGATACACATAAGAGGAAGATGTGTTTTGTAAGATGTAAAAAAAAGGAGTTCTATACTAAGTTGTAAGTTACATTTCAAAATATGTTAGTTCATAAAATAAAACAAATGTTTTATATCTGTCCCAAAGGTGCTTTTTCAAGAGGCAACTGGACTGTCTGGTTTTCCTTTGAAGACCTTTCACTTCTCATCCAAGAAGCTTCTTCAGCTCTGACTGGATGGTGGGGAATAGAAGGATTTATACTCCTTGCAGACAGCTGGTCATTTGCATTCTTTTTAGAGAGCTCTTGAGGCCACTTGAAGGGTTATCTGTGTCCTCAATGACCCTTTCAAAGGATGCAAATAATCAGCGGTCTGCAAGAGTTAAAGAAGCTTCTTGGATGAGAAGCGAAATGTTTTCAAAGAAAAACAAAGTCCAGTTGCCTCTTGAAAAAAGCACCTTTGGGACAACCATGACCTGGATGACTGAAAATACACACAAACACACACACACACACACACACACACACACACACACACACAGGTCTTGGCATGTTCGGGTCTTTTCCCATGTAAGGTTGAGAGCATCTTGGCAATGTTTCAATGAGGTCCCACTCGCCATCTTCAGGCTGGTGCTTTCGACTTTGTGCTTGTGCGAGCAAAGCGTGATCGGAGCTGCCACCTCCCTATATATACTGGTGGGGAGGTTGGCTGTGTTGTCATTTCTTGATTGGTTGATGGAGTTGATGTTTGCAGATTGGCTGTCTTTTTCGTAAGAACATGTGTGGCTGTGTATCTATCAGCCTCCTGTGTTGTAACGACCTGGGTAATGGGCTGAGCGATGACCTTCTGAGTTCTATTGTTTTGACATCCTGGGTCTTGTGCTGTAATCTCCTGGGTCCTAATGACCTGGGTCATGGGCTGTGTGATGACCTTCTGAGTTCTATTGTTGTGACATACATATTGTTGAGATTACAACACAGGAGGCTGATAGACACACAGCCAATACCTCAGACACACATGTTCTTACGAAAAAGCCAGCCAATCTGCAAACATCAACTCCATCAACCAATCAAGAAATGACAACACAGCCAACCTCCCCACCAACACATATACGGCAGCTCCGATCATGCTTTGCTCGCACAAGCACAAAGCCGAAAGCACCAGCCTGAAGATGGCGAGTGGGACCTCGTCAAAACGTTGCCAAGATGCTCTCAACCTTACATGGGAAAAGCCCCGAACACGCCAAGACCTGCATACCTGCACCTGTGAAAATCTACGAATATATATATATATATATTACGCGGGAGAATCTTACGCGGGAGAAAACCCGAATAACCAAAGATCCACATACAAGTACCCGCGAGAACCTCAGAAAACACACACACACACACACACACACACACACACACACACACACACACACATATATA